AATGATGAAATACTGCAAAATGGTCCCATTACATATTTTCAATGGCAAATTCTAAAATCATTTTCTGTTTGGTTTATAGGACTAATCAAAAATTATGTTCTGGCAGCCAGTGGCTTGTGAGTGCATTAAGTTTCCACCACTGGTGTCTAGTAAATCTTAGCTGGCCACCCCAGAGCTGCAGATTCACTACAATTCCTCAAAGGATATAAGGACTCTCATCCTGTTCAATCATGATTTGGCAGCCTCTTCCTATCCTAATAATTATTCAATCATTTCTGTTGAATATTTGTACATACTTTGTGCACTGCTAAAATTGGCTCAAGATATTAAAGTTTAAGCCACAAAAATCTATTAGCTAATTTAATAGTTAACAGGCAAACATGTTTCCCTCACTCAGTAAACATTATTGAGAATAAATACCTAATTTGACTCAGGAATGAACGATAAATGTTGGCACCTTTTATAATATATTTACTTGTGGTGCACTGTGATCTGGATCCTATAAACTGTTGGGGAAAGTTTGCAGATTGATGAAATTTATGTCAGAAACTTGGGTTAGATCCCTTTTTGATCCTTTTCAATCCCATGATTTTATGGTTAAAAATACTGACAAGTTGGAAACAATTTAGAAATGGATGAGAAGGAAAAATAAGGTGCCTGAGGAAGTAATGCTAGTGTGGTTGCATGGAGAGGATGGTGCCACCCTACCACAGAAAACTTAAGAAAAATCTATAAAAAGCAGTTCTCTGGACATCTTTAAGTAGTGAAAAGCATGAATTACACCACTGGTTTATGGAAAAACGAATGCAACCATTTCAACTAGGGATATGGGAAAAGCCAAAAAATAAAAATCATACAGTAAAGAAAAAGTAATTTTGAATCAAAACCAGCACAAAATAAAACAGATTACCACATATATATTATTTGCATAACAAAGAGTTACATTTAGGAGAGTTTTGTTAAATTTGAAATGTGTTGTATATATAATGTTACCTAGCAATTTGAATAGTGGCTTGGTCACTGAGTTTTTGTATAAGTGGTGGTTCAGCAGTTACATTCCAAATTACAGAGTAGATCTGAAAAGAGTTTGTTTTAAACAAGTGTGATTTATCTAAAGTTCCCAATGTCATTTGCTAATGGGTTTTCACATACAATAAAGCACTCCTTGTGCTCTTGTATCATAACATTGCAGCAGTTATCATAAATACAGCAAAATAATGCTATCCGATGCATGTTTACCCAGTAAACATCCTAATTTGATTTGTTTATTTATTTATTTATATTTAAATTTATATACTGCCCTTCTCCCGAAGGACTCAGGGCGGTGAACAGCCAAAAGTAAAAAACATAGAATACAAAGTTTAAAAACAATTTTAAAATATATTAAACAATTTGGCCCAACAATTAAAATACCCCATTTAAAATTCAAATTAAAATTAAACAATTGGAGAGATAGGCCAGCCCGGCTTGTTGAAATAAAAAAGTTTTGAGGGCCCGGCAGAAAGTACGTAAATCCGGAATCATCCATATCTCCGGGGGGAGCTCGTTCCAGAGGGCAGGTGCTCCCACAGAGAAAGCTTTCCCCCTGGGGGCCGCCAGTTGACATTGTTTGGCCGACGGCATGCCAAGGAGCCCCCCTCTGTGGGAGCGTACTGGCCGGTGAGAGGCTCTCGGTGGCAGAAGGCGGTCTCCTAAGCCATGGAGCGCTCTAAAGGTGGTCACCAACACCTTGAATCGCACCCGGAGGACCACTGGGAGCCACTGCAGCTCACGCAGGAGAGGTGTTACATGGGAGTGCCATGACACTCCCATAATCACCCACGCGGCCGCATTCTGGACCAGTTGGAGCCTCCGGGTGCTCTTCAAGGGGAGCCCCATGTAGACAGCATTATAGTAGTCCAGGGGGAGGTGACGAGGGCATGAGTGACCGTGCGCAAGGAGTCCTGATCCAGAAAGGAACGCAACTGGCGAATCAGGTGGACATGATAGAAAGCCACCCTGGCAACGGCCATCACATGTTCTTCTAAGGACAGCCATGCGCCCAGGAGGACACCCAAGTTGCGAGCCCTCTCCGTGGGGGCCAACGACTCGCCCCCAATAGTCAGAGATGGCACCAACTGACTATATCAGGGCACCGGGAGCCACAGCCACTCAGTCTTGGATGGGTTGCGCTTGAGCCTGTTTCTCCCCATCCAGATCCGCACGGCCTCCAGACACCGGGACATCACGTCAAGGGCATCATTGGGGTGGTCCGGGGTGGAGATGTACTGCTGAGTACATGGAACTTCAGCGTACTGATGGAACTTCACCCCGAAACCACGGATGATCTCACCCAGCGGCTTCACATAAATGTTGAACAGAAGGGGCGAGAGGACCGACCCCTGTGGCACCCCACATACAAGGCACCTCGGGGTCAACCTCTGGCCCCCCCATCAACACAAACTGCGACCGGTCAGAGAGGAAGGAAGAGAACCACCGTAACACGGTGCTCCCCACCCCTAACCCTCCAACCGGCGCAGCATGATGCCATGGTACCATGGCATGATGGTATCAAAAGCCGCTGAGAGATCTAATAGGACCAGGACCGAGGAGCAACCCCTGTCCTGAGCCCTCCAGAGATCATCAACCAATGTGACCAATGCCATTTCCATGCTGTACCTAGGTCTGAAGCCTGACTGGAATGGATCGAGATAGACCACTTCATCCAGGTACTGGGGGAACTGTCGCACCACCACACTCTCAACAACCTTCGCCACAAAGCAGAGGTTGGAGACTGGACGGTAATTTACTAAAACAGCCGGGTCCAAGGAGGGCTTCTTGAGGAGGGGCCTCACCACCGCCTCTTTCAAGGCGGCGGGCAAGTATTGTGATTATTTATTTATTCATTCATTCATTCATTTATTTATTTATTTATTTATTTCATGTATTTATATGCCGCCCTTCTCCAGAAGGACTCAGGGTGGCGAACACAAGTTAAAAACTTGTACAACAAAATTCCATTTTAAACCAAATTAACTAATAAATAATAAATAATAAAACCCAGAATCAGAGTCAGCCTATTATCCCATGTGGATGCTAGGATTCAGGCCAAAAGTCAAATTTAAATCCTTGCTTTTATTTTATACTGGATTCATTCAAATGAATATCTATTCTGCAAAATTTAGAAAGATTACACAGTATTAAAAAATAGTGAAGTGAAATTTGTATTACACAGGGAAAACTGTTTTCTGCTAAGATTAAAATGATATTATTTAGCTGTCCATTTAGAGTACCTAAATATTTAGTTTCTCTAAGTTAGGATATCTGCAAGCAGTAATGGATGGAAACTAATCAAGGGAAGAACCAATCTAAAACTAAGGAGAAATTTCCTGACAATTAGAATAATTAAACAGTGGAACAAGTTGCCTCTAGAAGTTGTGGGTGCTCCAAAACTGGAATTTTTAAAGAAGAGATTAGACAACCATGTCTGAAATGGTATAGGGTTTCCTGCTTGAGTAGGAGGTAATAATAATAAAATATTAATAACAAGTAATAATATCGGAAGAACAAATAGGACAGAAAGCTAAAGCATTTCTATTTAAAATTTAACTAAAAGTACAATTGCACAGCATTTATCACTTTAGCTAAAGATAATGACTGATCATTTGTATAATAATTCTTAAGAAGAAAGGTTGGAAAATGGCAGCAAAATAAATAATACAGTAATAGAAGGCATAACCAGGAAGAGAAAAATAAAAAACAGATGGCACAAGACAGCTAAAGGAATCTAAAGTTTGAGATGACTATGAAAGACATTTTTTTAAATGCCTCAATTTATCTCCAGAATCCTAATATTTCTCCTTGCATTCAGTGAATTTAGAAGTTCTGCCACGTTTGGTAGGCCTAGCACATGTGGAAAATTTGTCAGGCAATCTCGCTGGAGTGTGATTAAACTTCCTTAAAGGCTATCAACTGAATGTTTTTAATATATTCTAGGTTAAGCTCCCTGAAGCATTTTAATTATTGTACTATTATTAAAATATTTTTATTTATCAAGGAGAGTTGGAAAACTGGAGAAAAACAAGTTGATCATAATTGCTTTATTGTCCTTTAACTGGAATTCTACATTTACTGTTCCTTTCTCCAAAACCCTAAAAGATTTTGCAGAGCTTCAAGATGAATGACTTGAATTTCATTTCGCTTCACTAATAGCAGAACATGCTCCAAGCCCTATTTCCGATTACCCTATCATGGAAATTCCCTAAGACATCACTCTGAAGTTTCTGCTATATCAAATTTCCCATACACATAACATTTAAATATTTATACAGTATATTCCCAGTTTTGCTACATAACTGATTGCAGCTGAATGTTATATTGTATGATCTTAGGTTATAAAGAAATTAATAACCATAGATAGATTTGTGAGTAGCATATTCTCATTTTTTAAATTGTATAGCATATTTTTCTTTTATTCATATTTTTCCACAATTACATTAACCAACTGGAAAATAAATTCTTCAACATATCCACATTTATGGCATAAGTTTTTATTTGTAAATTGAGACATAAAATGTGTATCTACTTTTACTTATAAAAAGTGATAAAATGTGTTTTTACATTTATTTCTACACGTTTTATGCATTCAAAACTAATTATATGAAGATATTTTCCAGGATTCTTTTTATTATAGATATTTGGTATTCTGGTGTCTCTGCTTATCAGATCAATTTGCAAGATCTTCTAGAATTGAATAGAACTAAAGATCCTACACTGCTACTCTGTCACTTAATTCACCAATTTGTGGAATGTTTTCCACAGAGATGTAGTTTACAGTAATCCCTATCCTAAACAATGTCCCTTAGATGTATACATTTCTTGCCTTTTAGTATAGTCTGTGCAGTTAGTATACTTATTTGCTTAAACCATCTACATATTATAATTAATTTCTCTCTCCCGGCCACAGATATCTATTTTTGCCTACAAAATCTTTGAGTTTTATGGTTGAGTGTAAATCTTACCTTTGTTTAAGGAGTTGTTTATTGTCTTCAATAGTTATGCTATCTACATAATCTCGTTTGAAAATTTCAAAGGCTTCTTGGCGTCCAAGTGACATTTCTTTTCCCACTCCTGTTCAAGGAATACATCAGAATGGGTTGATTTGTGGAAATAATATTTAAAAGTAAAAATAGTTCAAGTGGAGTTCAACTCTTAGTAATAAACAGACTACTTGGCTATTGCAGAAATGGTTTGCCAATGCATTCTTCTGGGAGATTTTTGTCTTCCCTTTTTGAAAACTACTTTAGAATTCTCAGGTGATTCCCCTATCCATGTTCAAACCAATATACTGTACCGATAAGTTCAAAGTGATGCTTGTGAGCAGAGAGGATCACTTATGAAACATTTATTTCTGAATTGTTAAAGCAATTACCTATTTTTCCAGATTTTCATAGCCACTTTGACAGATGCTCCCATCTCTCTCTGCATATGTGCAAATGCACAGCTGCTTTATTTTATTTTATTTTATTTTTCTGATGAAGCAAACTGGCTGTGCAAAGACAGACATGCAGGGACAGTCAGGAAAACATTCTGGAAAAGTTATGGCTGCTTCACTTGGCTCCATATATACTGAAGCACCTCTTTCAGAAGTTACATAGTCCTACTAATCTGGGCCAAGAACTTTTAGCTTCCAAGATCAGTCAAGATAAGCTAAGGGTTCCTCAAGATTAATTAGAATTTCTGAGAAAATATACAAATTGGACTATGTGAAAAAATTCTATGGAAATGAAAATCTTGCTAATTTACTTATACTGTTGGCCAATTTTTTTCCCTCCCAAACCACTCTGGGTCCTGTCTGTCTTTTTTGGAATCAGCACAGCAACCACTTTCATACTAAATTAATCAGTTTCTGTAGTCTATGGAAACTTAAATGTCATTTATAGATTCAATGGTATATCTAAAATGACAGAATCACGTTTATTTCATGTCATCTGAAGATTCATGAGTCCAAATATTTTGCATGTTTCTTCTTAAACAACTATTAATGTCTCCATAATTAGAATCTGAGGGTCAAAACTCAAAGCAATTTGTCTTTTCCGAAATTACGGATATTTTCAGGAAACATTATTTTCCCTAACATTTTTCTTTGATTTACTATTTTGGTTCCACTATCATACTATAAAATATGATCATTGGTAACAAATGAAGAAACAAGGGTAGTTACCTCAGCTCCAAGTTCCCATTAGTTTATATGGTTAGGATACTGGAGCTCTGTCAACTTTCATTCAGTTGGGAACAAACCCATTTTGAAGAATTTGAACTCAATAGTTGGAGGGGGACTATTTGTTCTGAACTTGAAACAAAACATGTTTTCTGTTTTCATACAAATCCCTATTAAATATGCATTTTGCAAGATCCCTGCAGAAACCATTACTTAATTGAGCCAACAAAGAGACAAAAGCAATGGGCTTATTCAACACTTTCGTGAATAATATAGCAAAAGCAAAAATAAGTTATTTTAGATATTGGTTTGGGGCTTATATGCACTGTACACACTTTTACAGTTGATAACCTGGCTGAAAAACAAAACATATCTCACACAAAATACATATGAACAGCATTAAATGATAAAGTATGATGTCTATTCCATATCAAGAACTGATAGAAAATAATGGTAATTTTTGTTCTAATTAGCTTATCCAGATTTCAGAGTGTTGAAAATTTGCATGCCAGTTTTATTAATGATTTGTGGAAAATTCATCTTTTGTCCTCCTAAATCTCTGTGAAATCAAGTGAATTGCATTATTATAAAAACTTTTTTTAGTCAGAATAGAATGTTTCCTCACTGTTCTTTATGCAGAAAAAGAATTGTTGGGAAGAGGTCCTTAGACATCAATGCATCTTAAATACATTCTTTTCCTTCGAATATTAAGATTTCAGATGGTATCAGACTAGTATTAAGATTTCAGATGGTATCAACTGTAAACTCTTCAAGCTATAGTAGTAATAAATAATTAGTAATATTGTAAAGATGAAAGGAATCTAGAGTAGGAATAAATTATTGCTACTACTAAAAACTCTGAAGGAATCTAATGAAGCTATTGGTGTTTGTATATAATAAAAAAATTCTCACCTTATGACTAGTATGTGTGTGTATCTTGTGTCCTGTATTACCATGTGCATTTCTGTGTGTGTGTGCGCACACATGAGTGTGGGCATTCTTGTATATGCATGCATGGATAAACATTCTATATAAACAGCTAAATAAAATTTGTATGAAAAGTTTTGTTATATAATAACTCAACTTTCTGTAAGAGTTTTCTGGTGTTGTCTTCTCCATTTGCTGAGAAAAGGAAATGGTAAAGTTTCAGAGATAGATAGAACTAAACCAAACAAAATACAGATTTAAAAAGGAAAGGATCCATATTAATCCCACCTCTCTTGAAGGTTTCAGAAAACTTTATCATAAGGGACATATACAAAGATCTGGTTACCTACATTAGGCACAGTTTTGAATCTATCACAAATCTTCAAAGAGAAAGGGGATTCAATGGCACTGTACTGTAACTTCTGCCATTATCTATCTATATACTATTAAAACTCTCGTATCTGTAATTTTAACTGGGTGAAATGGTGCATCATAGGGTAAAACCTTTCGAACCAAAATAGTTCACAGCGGCTAATTTACAGAATGCATCCAAAATCCCTGCATCTGTGGAATTGAAATTGGCGAATTGTATAAAAGCTTTTATGACATAAAATTGTCATAAAACATGTATAACATGATGCAAAATATCATAAATCATTTCCTATGATCCACTCCTGATGTCTGACTGTGCTGCCCTGTTTCCCCCAAAATAAGACATCCCCTGATAATAAGCCCAATCAGGCTTTTGAGCGCATGGTAATAAGGCCAAGCGCTTATTTCAAGGTTCAAAAAAATATAAGACAGGGTCTTATTTTCAGGGAAACATGGTATACAGTTAAACTTGGACTACTTTCAAGGCAGATGGAGCTCTGAATGTGACCCTAATTTTTAAGAACTTTTCAAGTGAAGGCAGTGTATTAGAAGTGCTGCCATTGTTGAAGGCATTAAGGTAATCTGGTAAAGAAATATCTCTGAAATGATGGCCAAGGGGTCCTGGGTTGTCTAGTTCTCTTCACATGTGATCATAATTTCACATATGATCATAATTTCAGTGGTAAGAAATAAGGATTTTCTAAGATAAGGTGGCCAGCAACATTGCAGTCAAAATAACAGAAGAGGAAAATCTATTTATTATAGCAACTGAATTACAGAAATAAAACCCTATCTTTGACTTGCAGCATAATCAGAGTAAACAAGAATAAGAATAGGCTGTCTTGGCCAATTTTAGAATCTCAAGCAATGACTTCATGCATATGGACACAGACTTTAAAAGCCCCCAAATTAGTAGGTACAAAGAGGAAAGCTGGGCTGGATTAAAGCATGTCACAGTTGGCAGAAACTAGTAGGAATAGATAGAAGCAAATCTGAAGTCAAAGCCACAAGAACTTCATGAGCCCCACCCAGTATTGCTACCACATCCAAACCAAAAAAAAAAAAATGTTTATATTGTATCAGAAATACCTCTCTCTCTCTCTCTGTCCCTCCCTCTCTCTCTCTCTCTCCCGCCCTCTCCCCCTCCCCCCTCCCTCCCTCTCTCCCTCACACACACACACACAAAGGAGGTAGGGAAATAGGGGGAGATTTCTGATACAATATAAACATTTTTTCCAATAATACTTACAATACCCCCCTCCCCTTTATTCATTTTTTTTGTATTTCTTCCTTTTTGCTGTTTCTGTCGGAAGGCATGAGGGGTGTGTGTACTGTGTGTTTGTATACTTGTGTTATGTGTGTGAGAATGGTTTCTGCCTGTGAGATAGAATGACTGGTATATTCGGATGGGGAAAGAATATCCATACAAATTAAATACTTTCTCTTCAAGGCAATTAATTTTAACAATAAAATATTAATTCAGTAAAAAATTATCCTAGCCTGCTCATTTTTGGAGCGTGGATTCCGATGCAAAGATTCCCTTTCGATATAATTAATTAGAGGTCACTATTTGCACGTCTAATGCACTACTAAATAGAACATCATTTAGCAACATTTTAACCAGCCTGTCTGAAGGATTCAACTAGCTTAATAAAAATGCTTTTCCTGCTAATGTTTTAATATTCTTAATGTCTTTGTTTTGAGACAAAACTTGATATTGCATGGAACATCCACATCAAATTTCAGCTATATATTGAAGGAGGTTTGTATTTTTATTGAATCTACAATTAAATAATCAATAAGCTAACACAGTTAATAAAACTTGTCTATCAACAACAGTGAGGTTTCCCTCAAACCCTTATTCATCCACAAAACTGGTTCTAGATTCATAACATTTGGTGTGTCAGAAGCTGCTGGAAGTTGAGAGTTTAGAAATTCTCCTGAATGAGAATTATAAACCCTTTATTTTTGCCATTTATGTGTACAATTAGTATTATGAAACACACTGTGTTTACTGTCCATAAAAGCCAGTTGAAAAAATTCTTTGAATGAATCTTTGAACTGTATTTTAATATAGCAAAATTAAATAGTGAGGACAATTAATCAGTGGAACAACTTGCCACCAGAAGTTGTGAATGCTCCAACACTGGAAGTTTTTAAGATGATGTTGGATAACCATTTGTCTGAAGTGGTGTAGGGTTTCCTGCCTAAGCAGGGGGTTGGACTAGAAGACCTTCAAGGTCCCTTCCAACTCTGTTATTCTATTCTATTCTAAATAACATATAATGCTTTTACTGTAGGTCATACAATGGCTTCCCCAAACAAGCATTTACAACTCAACTTAATATTAAAAGGCTTTAAAAAATAAGTTCAGCCATAATGTCATAACTTGTACTTTTGGTATATTTTATTATTCCATAATTACTTCATTTGAGCCAAGCTGTATGATAGTCAACTTGTAGCAACTTGTCATGTCAGAAGGGTCATGGTAACTAGCATGCAGAATATTTCCATTTTCATTATATGAGAAGGAAAAATATTAAAATCAAGAGAACATATTTATTTAGCAATTTATATGTACAACTGAATTGATATGTCATTATTTAAAAAC